TGATTTTTCGAGATAATCACATTTCCCTCTTAGATATCACGGTGATTATCGTACCCCGTAAACTGAAGATTAGCCAAAATTATTGTTAATATTATTTTATATTATTCAGATTTTTGTTAAATAGTTTTGATAAATAGTTGACAAATATAAAAAAATTATTGTTAATATTATTTTTACTAGTATTATAATTTAAATTCTCATATATTTTTTTATTTTTTTTTTCTTTTCTTATATAGTTTAATCTTGTAATTTAATAATTAATGAATAATTAACTTGACAACTTGTTGGCAATAATTCTTATATTTAATTTGTATTTTGAAAATCATAAGAGCAAAAATATTATTCTCTACAGTAGATCAAACTTTGAGTTCGTCATCTCATGAAAATTTGTCAAAATTTTAAATGTCAATAAAATAAGCCGTGATCAAAGCTGCCAGCTTCATGTTTACTTGAACTTATACAGTATATTCAATTGATTAATAAAACTACGGTCTGGTCTGGCTACGGGTATTGCCAAAAAAAATACAAGGCTGAGTCAGCTATTCAAAAAAATTTTTTTTGAGTCGACCGACTTAATTCGCCAGTTTAAAAATAAGGCTTATTAATACTAAAGAAACGTTTCAAAAATATAAATCACATGATTGATTAGATCTGAGGTCTTACATATTCTATTGTTTAATTGCTAACACGTACGTGTAAAATTTGTAAAAATGAGTGCCGGTTTCGGGAAGATAGATTTGATGATCAAAGGAGACATTATATGCTGTCGTCCTCATCAACTTGAGGTCTGCTCTGAATGTGATTTGGACTTTAACTCCTTGAATTCTCTGCATAAAAGTCTTCTACAAATCAATGGGAACATTCCACCACCAAACGCTGTAAATGAAAGGTTATCAAGGCAAATCATGGGACTGAAAGAAGAAGGAAACAAACAATTTAAAGCAGAAAACTATCTCGAAGCGATTAGGCTATACACTCTGGCAATAGAGATGGCTTTTCAAAGACCCATGTGGGAACCTCACGAAATAACGGCTCATGATGTTTCAATTTGTTTAAGTAATAGATCCGCCGCTTACATGGGAATCAAATCTTGGGTAAATGCATACGTTGACGCAGAGTGGGGAATCAGGATTAAATCGGATTATGTAAAGGGATATTTTAGAAAAGGAAAGGCCTTAATGGCGATGAGAAGGTATGATGAAGCTATAAAGGCATTTGAGGTTGGCTTAGAATTTGCACCAAATGATGAAAGTTTAAAGAGTGTTCTCGATGAGGCAATAGAATTGAAAGGAAATGAGATGGTGGAGTAAGTTAGTTATCATGATGAATTATAAATTTGGGTGCAGTATATTTTATTTGATTTCTATCAAGCAATAAGATGGACTTTTAAAAAAATAGTTAGATAATTTGCCAATCACAGGGTTAATTTTTTTATATTAACACAATTTTAATTTCTTTTTTAAAGTTAATATACAATAAGATGTTGGCACTCACGTGTATACGTAAAAAAAGCTTTATCAGCTTTAGTAGAATGTTCAAAATTTATAAATAAAATTAAAACTACATTTTTACATCTATATTTCCCGTTCTTTAATAAAGAATTCTTTTGAATATCCTATTTACTCCTGTTCATCATTGTCAAAAGTTCCAGAACTGCCTACAACCCAAATTTCTTGCTCTTCATCCATTTCTTCGTCCACTTCATCGCCAGTGCTTACCTGTCTTAACCTTTGTTGTTCTTGAGGAACAAGTTTTGACAATGTACGTTTGTGGATATCGGTAACTGATTTGGCCGTTTGAGCATCAATCGTTGATAAAAATTTCTAAATTTTGTTGAACACGTATGAATAACCGCACAATAAAGAATCTCACGCATTAATTGTACTCGACGAACCTGCATCATATATTCGCCATCCAAGAGTTGAAGTGAATAAAGTAAAGCTCGTTCCGCGGCATATTTCACGGGATTATTTCGATCATTAGCGCATAATATCATTGAAGGAACAATTGTGGAAAGGTGGGGTTCCAAAATCTGAGTTAAAAAGGTTTTCTCATTAAAAATTTTTCTTTAAACAGTATTATAAATCAGTCTGTTCGATAGTTACATATGGATATTTCTTTCCGACTATTCGGAACACCGTTAATGCCAAACGCTTCGTTTCACCGGCTAAGGTTGCTGGTTCACGAATATCAGCTGCCAGTGCTTCCACAAGACGGCTCACTATTTGTTCTTGATGATGCATCTCTGTAAGCAGAATTTTTCCTGCCGCAATTATTGAAGTGTCGGCAACGGACGGCTAGTGCAGGTAAATGTAAAAAATGGTAGCCACACGATGACAATTAATTAAAAAGATCTAGTGATCCAATCAAAGATTACCTGGTTACTAGAAGAGCCAACGACTATAATTGATATTATATTATCAATTATTCCCATGTCAATAACGACTTTTGGATTTTCAGCGAGGATAGCGTTTATGACCAAAAGAGAATTTTGTGTTGGTATATCACCCGTCATCACGTGAGATCTATAATGCATATCAAAACGAATGAATTGACAATTCTTTTCGCGACGTAAAATATCGACAGTAGAAATATAAAAACGTGCGTTATAATAGGTTCAATATCTTGAAGTGGTACGTGTCTACTCAAACTACCAAGTAGACGCGAGGCACCAATCACAATTCCCTCTACACGATATCAATAAGTTTTAGAGGCACGTGATTAATAAAAAACCGACGTAAGAACACTTACCTTTACTATCACTTAACCCTTCTTTTATAACTCCCAAAACTCCTTTTTTTGAAGTTTCATTCATACTGTTTCCCGCCTTGTTTACGACACTTTCCAACGCGCTTAGCATTGCTTCTCGTACATTCGGCTCGCTTGTTTTGATTCCCGTGACCAACTCGGAAATAAGAGGATCGACGCGTGTTTGCAACGAAATCAAAATACCAAGGGCAGATGCAGCACGTGATCTGACGAGAGCACTCGAGGGATCGGTTAATGACTTTATGAACGTTCGCTGAAGTTGTGGAAGGAATGGTTTGAGGAGGGCAGGAACCTTGGTAAGGAGGAGGCTGTGATTAATTCGAGAGATAAGTACAAAATGTATATTTATATAAAAGTATTGTCAAGGAAATACATGATACGCCAATGTTGTTGAAAGCACCACATACCTTAAAGTTTGTAAGATGGCTGCTTTAACTTGTGGAGGATAACGTTCCCCGATAATTCGAATCAGTGGACCAGTAATTTGCGTCACGAATGGCTTAAGTGCATCGGCTGAGGTCCTTTGAATAAGGTCCCCTATTCCTAAAGCAGAGTTCTCACGGATTTCTGCAGTACCATACATCAATCCGTGTAAAAATATCGGGAGTATAGGGCTGATTCCTTTTGGCAGGCAAAAACCGGGTAAGTCAACACCTGGAACGCCAACTGTTTTCACAGCACGACGGACTGGAGTCACCAATTGTTCCAATTCGTCTTTTTTAATCGATTTGGTTACGGCATTTAAAGCGTTCCACGCTGAAATCACGACTTCTTGTTGACGATCGTCTAAAAGTAAAACAAGCACATGTATCCATTCCGATGAATATCGCGAAAAGTTCATTTTTGTTTCACTGCAAAAGATTGCAACAATGTCACATGCACCAGCCCGCTTAGCGGGATCGTCACTTTTAGCCGCTTCAAAGAGCATAATCATTAAAGTTTGAAGTCCTTCGGCATTATCAACGGAAAGTAACAATGCCCGTTCTGTTTCTTTAAGTTCCGCGATAGTGTTCTCGTCGGATTCTACGTTCAATGATGTCATAAGAGCGGTAAGGATGCTTGCCAATCGTTTGTTGAGCGCCGCGCCGGCAACCGTTACCAAGGACGCAAGAGCTCGAGCGTTAAATGAGGAAATTGGTATGGCAATTAAATTAGGTATGAGGACTGGGAATACGACATTCGCACGCACTGCCATTATTTCCTTCAATGCTTCCAATGCATAGGCCGAATCGTCTCCGGATTTCAAAGAATTAAGAAGTGTAGGCAAAATTTCATCGATTGCCTTATCACCAACATGCTGTTGAAGTGTATCAAATGCTAATATATATATATATATTTGAAAAGGATGAGCAAAATTGAAATGGGAGGTGGATTAAATTATTGAATCAATACCTTGAGCTGCAGCCTCGCGAACCTCTCCAGATTCATCGACCAATGCTTTTCTGACTGCAGGTATAATGGAGTCAACATAATCAATGACTTGGATCTTTCCAGCAGTACCCATTATTTCTTTTAACCCAATGCAAACTCCTTGACGCATATCGGCCTCTGATGATTCTAGGCCTTCTTCTAGAATTGGAATGATTTCGGAAAGAACGCTTTCACCAAGCTTACGAACAAGCTCACCAAGGGTGAGGGCGGCCACTTGGCGTCGTTCATAACTTGGATTTGACAAGTTTCGTATAATCATTCCCGTCATTACATGAAGTATTTCTTTGACGGTGCGAGGTGTGTTGGAAACTATGGCTTTCCATACGTGTATTGATGCTTGACGAACGGTGCCAGAAACTTAAAATGTAGATTGAAGTATCGTTATTCAGCATTTCGAAACTGATATATTAAATGTCAGGCATCAATTCAACACAAATTAGTATCAAAACATACCGTCTTGTCGAACGATGTAGATGGCAGCCAAAACACGATCCCGCCTTTCTTTTCCAAGAGCTTCCAACAAAGCCTTTTTACCAACTTCGGCTCCAACGGTTTCTTCTTCTTCTTCACCTTCGATGGTGGTCTTTCCGCTGATTCCAACTATACGATATAACAGGTCGCCCATGAGCTGAACGGAACTGTGCCGTATTCTCCAATTATCATCAAATAATCCTCTCTCCAGTTCTGGAAGCAAAAGATCAACAGCTTTGGTTGCATAATTTACAACAATCATCCGACCTGCTCGGAGCGACGCATCTCGCACATATTCCGATTCATCAGCAAGACCAGATAATATTGGAGGGATTATACGACCAAGGTAAGGTTGGAATCGAATACCAAATGTTGCAGGAAGATATATGAGCAATGAAATGAACCCCTCGCGAACATAAGATTTTGAACTTGTGGAATTTGTTATGATATCAGGCAGAAGCCCGTCAAGCCTTTCCAGTCCCAGCCCTGCCAATATTTCACTAAGACCTTGAGCAGCACCTTGTCGATCAACACCGCTAGTGTCTGACTTGAGAGTGTGAATAAGTTCATTGACGATGTTAGGAAATTTATCTTCACCTAGCTTTTCCACCAAGGTTCCTAGTGATTTGGCAGCCGTCGCCCGAGCCTCGGGTACGGGATCCACCAAAACTTCTTTGAGGCAAGGTAAAATTCGTGTTAAATACGGAGTAAGATCTTTTACGTCTGTCAGAGAAGCCATGTTTCCAACGATTTGCGATGACTTTTTCTTAACCTCTGTGCTTCTCTCCTTTAAACCACGTTCCAGTATTGGCATCACCTTTGATGAATGTAAAGAAAAAATTAAATTTAGAATTTGGTTAACGCGTGTATATATAATAACGTAACGGTTAACAATAACGTACTAATGCTAATGATGGAGCATCAATGTAATGAACAAATGCTGTCGCGAGTAATGAATCTAGAGCGGCGTTGGTATTCTTATCTGGATCGCTAAGTCCACTAAGTAAGGTTGGTACAAGTTCCTGAATTTCTGGATTATTGATAACCTCCCCAAAGTGTAATAAGGCTTGATTTGCGGCTGCTTGAACATTTGCGTGTGAATCCGTTAACACGTTGGTCAGTCTCGGAACTATTGTAGGCAGAGAAATTGATAATTGTTTTGGTGCACAAAATGCCATAGCTCCCAACAACTCGATCGACCCTTTCTTTGTTCGCCATTGACGATCCTCCAATCCGACCAGAAGTGTTGGTAGAATGAGTTTAACACAATGACCACTAATTTTACTCATTATTACACGGGCCGCATCCGATGTTGCCTCTCGAATGTCAGGATGAGGATCGCCAAAGCACGATAACAATAATGGCAAAATTTGAATGATGTAAGGTTCAAAAAGACGCCCCAAACTTTGCGATAATGTTTCAAAAGAAAACATGGCACCCTGCCGAAATCTGTAATCCTTTTTATTATCAATGCTCTCTTTCAAAATTTTCATCACCTCACAATCCTTTAAAGCCGAAATACCAGTTCCCTTAACTACACCGGCCAGACCGTACGCAGCGCCTCTTCGTTCTGCATACTTGTCCGAATGACGGAGTTGATGTAACAGACTATCAATCAATTTTGGCGACTTGTCTTTCATCGATTTAATTAGGGGCGGTAAACATTCTCCGACAGCCATTTGAACAGACTCGGCCGGAGTTTTCAGTGTCTCAAGAAGTTTTTCGATTATCGCAGGTATTCTTGAGTCTGTGGGATTTAAGTGCCGAGCCAAGGCTCCAAACCAAATGACGACAGATTCGCGGATACGGTCATGGGTTTCAGTGGGCTCAGCGGGTTGATCCAAATAGTTCTCAAACACTGGCATCAATAAATTAATGTTCTTGCCACCGTGAAGGTCAATAGCGGTCAGGCCAGCCTAATTAATCAGAACAAACCATTTTTACCTTAGAAAAGCTCGAGATAGTAAAATGTTGCATGTGTCAATAAAATAATAATAATAATAATAATAACTACCTCTAGCATCTTTTGTCGAACTTGTGCGTGTTTGTCACCGACAGCTTTTTCAAAAATCAAGAATTCAAAGAATGATTTCAAGCTCAATGAATTCATATGCGGCGCGATAGCAACAAGTGCAAGGGCCAATCCCACACGCGCTTCCCACGGATCTTGTTTGTTCAACGACTCCGTTTTGATAATACCAAACTCATCATATTCTGGTTCAATTGGCTTAACCTGATTACAGATTTCAGATTGGATGTATTCTAGACTTCGAAGATTGAATGTAGGAAAATAACAATTATAACTGATAGCATACCTTCTCCTTGTAAAGATCAAATATCAATTCAAGTGTATTGTCTATCGAATCTGGAATGGATTGTGCTGCACTTCCAATAGCTTTAGCCGCACAAGACCTAATGTATGAGTCACCATCCACCAAAAGAGGTAAAATTTCAACGGCATAACTTGGCAAAACTTCCATCTCGTTATCTTCCCATAAGGCCAAAGCCAACTTTTCATTATTTTCATCATCATCGTGGCACGAAATCCACAATTCACGAGAGAAACCAATGTGTCCAAAGTATAGGTATTCTAATGCTTGCAGGCATGCGTGACGAACGTACGCTTCAGCGGAAAGCAATCCTGCGAACAAGGCATCCAATTCCTTCTCAGTCGCATTGTCTTCGATCGCTTCACACAAACTTATTAAAGCAGTTCTTGCCGTTTTTGCCAGTTTTGGATAATTTTTGATCACAAGTAACAGTGCTTGGATCATTTCAGTTCTAGGAAGCAATGGTGAAGAACCAAGTGCCGAATGAAAAGAAATGATATCCAAGCCAAGTGTAATTTGCTCCATTAACAATTCAGCTTCACCGGCTTCTCCATTATGGGGTCCTATGCCACCCTTTTGGATTACTTGACGAATCAAGGAAAAGCAATATGCAAATGATGAAGGTGGCAACAATGAACGCTCTGTGATGAATCGAAGGCGATATAATATACGCGAAACAAGGTGACTTAGCGTCTCTTGGAGCCATTTTTCGGGAATTTCCTGAATGTTCGTGGAACGTAAAGTAGCCAATCCAATAGGTACACGAATGCCTTCAATTTTTTCGGAAGTACATAGACCAATTTTCAAATATGCATTAACTCCTTTTTCTCCAATAAGAGGGCCGCCTTTTTGTACGACTGTGTAAAGCAATCTCATTAACTCTACTATATGTGGTTCGGTGGCCTCAGCATTACCATCCACCATGGCTTCTATTATATCTAAACCTTTTATTAATTTTAGACGAGTTTCTTCGACATGTTTACGTATCTGAGATTCTTTCGCTAGCTGTAATTTTACTGACGCTTGTTCATCTTTTGAAAGCTTTGGAGCTGAAGTATGACCCTTCTTTTTGGCGATTTGTTCGCGAATTTCCTGTTCCCACTTCTCAGTTTGATAGTCTTTTCGATTCCGATTCTCCACTATGCTTTTTTGATTTCGTTTTAAAACTGAACGTATTTGAGTTGAAAAATAAAAGATTAATTTTACATATAGTGAGGTACATCAAGCGATACATTAAATAAACAGATATGAATGTACCATCAACGAATAGTGTTCCTTCATCAGTCTTCCATATTTCAATATCCTGAATGCCTATTTTTTCAAGCAACGAGGAATTCAGGTATTCGCGACATTGCGAAAGAAAAATCGGTATAAACACATTTGGTGAAATGAAAGTGACGGTAGCAATTGCTGACATTGCAGCTTTATAAAAGTTCTTGGACTTTATAAATAAAAAATTCAATTATGTTAACAAGAAGATGCCAATACCATTAACATAATGAATACATACTTTCACTTCGCTCTGTTTTATTATCTCTAGAAGTCGAGCGGAATATTTTTCAACCAATTTTCCAGGATCAACTTGAGCTCTTTGCACTAACGAGATCCAATTATACTTGTTGGTGGGTGACACTAAAAAAATAATAATTTTCAAAATGAGCCATATGATTTTACTTTGTTAAAAAAAAAAAAAAAAGAAGATTGAAATCACCAATAGCAGGATGATGAGCCAAAACAAAAAGTTCAACGAGTGAATCTTCGACAACCGATTGGTCGACAGTTTTAGAGAACGTGGTGATAGCAGTAAGCACTCTGGAAAGAAGATATGCGTTGACGGCAGGATCTAAATGTGCAGTCGTCGAAGATAATACAGCTGTAGAATCTTTGGTATTACTCTCAAGCTACACATAGATCAATATATAACTCTTTAGTCTGATAATTTAGAATGATGATTTCTATTTATATAACGTACATACATTCAATACCCAATTGGTTATCCCTTCACGCATAATTCCACCCACAATATCGGGACTAAATTGAACGCAACTTTTAAGCGTGTTATACGCCTCAATACGTATCTGGTATGACACAAACGAAGTAATCATATATATAAATGCAGTCGCAATGAGTATTCTAAAATGAAGTTAATGTTATTACATGTCTAATAAAATAATCGTTTAAATTGTTCATATAAAATTTACCCGGCATCGGATTTTTTCAAGGTTTCCACATTTTCGTTAATGATGACACTTTCAAGAGATCGAAGAAACCAAGTGCCTTCCTCGGTAGTGTTCAATTTTGTGTATATTTTATCCCATAACAAGAAAGAGGGTTTTGGAGAGGACACTAGAATACTTTGAGCAAGCTTCTTCGAACGAATCAACGCATCTATAGTCATCAATTCAACACTCGTGAGGTGAAGAAATATTAAATATGAATAATGAAGCGACCGTATAAAAGTAACATACTGATCCCTTCATCCTTCCAATTTTTGGCTCTTCCTTCGGCGACAGCCGCGGTAATATACCCTTCAACGAGGTTGCCAACGAAATTCAGAGGATTTGCTTGAATCTTTTCCAACGTCGATAACAATGGCGGTAAAGACTTTTGAGTAACATTAAGGAGTGATGCAGATGGATTGCCAGTTTCTTCCCAAACAAGGCGTCCAATTACAATAGTCCACGCTTTTTTCACACCAATCTTGGTGCTGGATAATCCATCCACAATAAACTTTGTAACTTTTTCAACAATTTCTTTACTTTCCTCGGCTTTAAGCAAAAGCCCTGCATGTAATTCCAGCGTATTGATTGCTTTTGCTAATGAACTCTCATTACTTTCCTTAGACACGATGGGTAATAGTCCATCAATGATGATACCAACTATTCCAGGAGATTGATGTATGTGACCTAATACTTGAAAGATGATCGCGCGATGCTCTGGGTTGAGAATCTTTCCTGTCCCAAGTAATAAAGTCCATAAAGTAAGTGTGCACCAATGTTTAACGTCTTAAAAACTTACAAATTTAATACCGACCTCCGCTCATAGTTTGAAGAATCTCTTTCACAATATCTATAACGATCGCATCATTTTTACTTTTCTCAATCATCGTGTTTAACAACTCAACTGCGCCAGACTGTACTACTTTGTTTGTCGACCGAACATGCCCAAGTAAAGGTTGCAAAAAATTTTTCTTCAAAATATTCGACAAATCAAAGTTTAATGATTTGAAAAGAGTGTTTAAGACTGGTTGTGAAAATTGACAAAGAATTAAACCTTTGTTTCTCGCAAAGTTCCGAGATGTTAAGAATCATAGTAAAATAACAACGAACCGCTCAGCACGATTTCAGGAGCCCTTAGCAAAAGTTTTTCAAAAGTTGGAATCAACTTTGTTTGAAAATCATCTTCTGTCACCATCATTTTCATGAATTTGTGTAACGCATCCTATTTCAAGAAGCCCAAATATATTCAGAACTTGAACTGATCGGTAGGGAGATAAAATTCTAAAGCCTAGTTACCGCGGATGTGCTAGTCACAGGGGATTTAGAAGAAGCAACAGCAGTAATATAAAACTGAATAATGTCATCCTAATACAATAAAAAGATATTTTAGGTAATTTTAACTGAGATTACAAAATCAATAAGTATCAGACGCACTGGCCGCACCTTTGCATTCTTCACATATTCCTTGGCGCTTCCATTCTTGAGTCGTAAAGAGCAATCTATGACCGTTCCGAGTAAAATAGCATTCCTATATGTAGGAGTGCACGACTTCGAACTAGAGGTCAAATAAGTTATATATAATGGAATATGTGCTGCGTTCTAAAAGGAATTCCACCAATGACCCAGAATTTCATTAAGAATAGTAAAAAAAAAAAAATTGACATGAGGAAACAAAAATTTATGATACCTTGCGAACGCAACGTCTTACATCGGCCATGGCGCTTCGAGTTATACTTTTCTTTTTTTCAGTTTTTTGAACGAGCGAATTTAAAAGTGCTGCTTGCAAATCGATCAAATTCTTCCGGTGAGGTGATGATTCCGAGGTGAAATCAGACGCAAACGCAAAGGTGATCAATGCATTTACCCAGGTAAGGAGAACGAATCGGATTGTTGAGGATGTAACATATATCCTAAGATTCAAACAAGAAAGGATCCGTTATAAAATAATTGATAACGAGAGAAAATTATAAATTTTTTTTAATTTCATACCCGTCTGGACTTTTTCGATCAAAATTATCAACCTCCGTAGTGACCATAGGAATGAATGTGTTCAAAAACAACTCGGAATTCCAATTGTTTATTTCCTTAAAAATATTCAATATGGAAAGGCGTGAAGCTCTATCATTATACCTCGAACAGGTTAAGAGTAAGAGGCGAAGCAGACTTCCGAGTGATTTGTCAGAAAGATCTACGAAATTAAATTACATGGTAAGATACAAAAAGCTTAATATGATGAGTAGAAAAAAAAAACACTATTTAGGTTATAAGAACCTCCAGCCTTTATTCGAGGTAACAAAGAGTGATTTAGGAATTCAAGACGAAGTGACGTGCTCGAACTTGTAATATCATATAAGGCTCGTGACTTAAGGAATTCGGCCCAGGATATATCGGCCATTTTAATTTCAACAACTTCTGTTGAGTCGTCCATTATTTCCTTTAATTTTTAGGACGCAGCAAAAGAGAAGCCTTTCCAAAAAAAAAAAAAAAAAATCGAAAGTGAGCAGTACACGCAATTCCGAGTAAGATTTTTGTGTTACCACAAAATTTTCCGTACGCAAAATACTGTATTTTCCGAAATACAATAAACTAAAATACTAATATAAATTTAGTTCATATATTTTTTTCTTTTTAGCGATTATTATCGAGACTTAAATATATTTGTTAAAGTATTGAATTAATAATTTTTTTAAAATCATATTATTATAATAGACGGCTTATTCTTGCTTTTATTTTAAGTTAATTGTATTATATAATGTTAGCACAGATAATATTTAAGAAAAAAAATTTTTTAATCTGCAATTATACAGTATATAATGGTTCATCTTTATTGAGAAATTAAAACAAAATCTACAATAATTTACAAACTTTTTCACAATATAACTAACTTATTTTCATGTATAAGTACTCTAAATCAGATTTTGAAACAATATTATGCTTCCCTGATATGATTGAATTAATCACTATTTATTAGGATTATTACTAATAATTTATTACCATCAATTAATTCAAAAATCAATTAATTGTTAAGTTAAAAGATAAAATAAATTTTATATTATGAAAAACCTTTATAAATTTCTTGTTTCAAAATTAAAAAGGGTTTTAAATATTTTACAGTCAGTTCTTTTTTCTTTGAAAACTTTTTTACCATTGATACTAAAGATATTATTTAATTTTTCAACTATTAGAAGTTAAATTTTTGAGTAAAAAAATTTGTAGACAATAAAAAAAAAATAATAATAATTCTTAAAGTTAAATTTTAAGCTGTTTTAAGAAAAGTATTAAGACTTTATTAATAAAGAAATAAAAAACTTCTTACAAACATTTTTTTATATATGATTAAAAAATTAATAAAAAAAGTTTAAATTTTTATTACTATTATTATTATTTTTTTATAATTATAAATAAATATTATATATAAAAATTTTTAATATAAAATATTAAATTAATATGACAACTATTTATTTAAATTATCAATTATTTTATTTTATTTTTATTCATGATCAAGTCAACATAGTATGTTTATTAATCATAAATAATAAAACTGTTTATGATATATTAGATAAATATATCATAACTAAACTAAATCTTATGCTGACTTATTCATAATAAACTTATAATTCTCAAATAAGCTTCAACCTCTAAGTGTAAACTTGAAAACAATATTTTACTTCAGAATAAGTTTTAAGTAAAAATCCTTCTAACTTACTCATTATTATCAGCAGGTTACTACTGCTAATTATTTTTCAAGAAATATTTTAAAAACTACAATAAGAGAAAGGAAAAATAAAAAAGAGGAACATATTAAAAATGTATAATTGTACATACTTAAAGAGAAAAAGAAAAAAAAATAAAACTACTTCATATTCTCTAAAAAACCTCTACTAAAGATCTCTTCTTATTAGAAGTCAATCCTTGTTGAATATTTTTTTTCTTCCTAACTGTTTAAGAAACTTATCCATTTATGATCTTGATTATTTTTGTGATCTTGATTATTTTTGTGTAACTATTTAAAGTACTTATTATCTGCTCAGATTCAATATCTTGTTCATCATTTCTTTTCTTTCAGTATTAATTTTTTATTTATTTATGCAGACCTTAATGACTTATAGTAGATCTCAGGTTCTTATGTAACTTTTCAGTATATTGTGTAACCATTGATATTTTTCAGTAGTTATGTCTAGTTAAAGGAATTTTACTATTATATATCTTTCATTACTCAAAAAGTCATTCCTCAAGAATCTTTTTGTTTTATAATAATAGAAGGGTTCCAGATGAGTAGTAAGGATTTCCATTGATTATAATATTATTACACAATATTTAAGAAAATACATTCTTAATCCAAAAGAAGAGCAGTAACTCACAGTCTTCTACTTTTCAATTTTATTGTCTGACTGGAATAAGAAAATAATCTCCTTTGTATACTTAGCCTAACCTGAATAATAAGAAGTTGAAGACCTTAACTTGAACAAATAACTATATTTTTACTATCTAAAGAATTTAAGGCCTATCTTAATAGTCTCATAATTTCTTTGCTTCAGTTATACTTTATTTGAAGAAGAAAAAAATTTTGTATCAATTGATTCTCTTTTGTTTCATCAATTATATCATCAAAATATGTAAGTATAGTCAATGAAACCTTGTTTACATCTTGTTATCAATATATTTATATTAATCAATTAGAAGCCAGGTAATGTTATGTTATTAAAAATTCAAGGTTAAGCTAAGGTAGATAAAATTCCTTAAAAAAATCATGAAAAAATTGTAAACATTCTAAGAGAGCAAGAGACTGTATATAAGAAGATAGATAATAAGCCTTTTCCTATCCAGAAAATCTCTATCTCCATGTCACATCTAGCTTTAAAAAGTAATACTCTACAAGTTAATCCTTTTACTTCTTAAAACTTTCTTACTTTTAGTAAAGGAAGTATATACTTAAATCTATTTAAGTTATCAAAGGCTCAAGTTTTTATTCAAAGGAGTTTATAACACTAGTCAAAATTATGTCATTCGATAGTTGAATTATTGCCAAATTTGATTAAATTTAATAATAAAAATATTGCTGAATTCTTTTCGATTGCTGCCACTTGGCATATTATATTTTGACAATAAAGTGGCAATCAAAAATTCGACAATCAAAAATTCGGCAATCAAAAACTCGGCAATTAAAAATTCGGCAATCAAAAATTTGACAATCAAAAAATTCGGCAATCAAAAATTTATTAATTAAAGGTTTAACAAAAAATTCGTCAAAAATTCAATAACTATTCAACAAAAATTCATTAAAAGTTCATCACAAAATTATTTAT